ATTCTAAATCTATATATCTGGTTCAAACTTCTGGCTTTATTTTAAAATATAATAGTTAATGTAAAAAAAAGTACAATAAACATATGAAGAAATGTTCAACATTGCTGGCCATTAGAGAAGTGCAAATTAAAGCAACACTGAAATTCTATCTTAGTCCATAAAGAACAGAATCTATTAAGAACAAGCAATCAAATAGTGATGAATGCTGGTGAGGCTGCATAAGAAAAGGAACACTTCCACTGTTGGTGGAATGCTAAACTAGAACTTCTATTTGACCCAGCTATTCTCCTTCCAGTTATTTTCCTGAAAGAGTTAAAGACATCAGAGTACAGCAGCAGAATGCACAATAGCACAATCTTGGAAGCAGCCTATGTGTCTTATCATCAAATGAATGAACAGAGAAAATGCAGTCTCTACACAGTGACGCACTACAGCATCATGAAGATGAGCCTTTTGAGTCATTCGTAGGAAGACGGACACGCCCTAATATAACAATTTCAAGTGAAATAAATCAGACACACACACTTAAATATCACATGGTTTCTCCTATATGAGAAACTCAAATCATAAATAAGAGTACAAGCTAAAAGATGACAGGAATGGAAAGACATCTCTCTCAAATTGGAAGGGGTCAAGAGATGGAGGAAGCAGAGAAAGAATTAGATGTTATGTACCTATACTAATGCCACACAGGAATGGCAACTGGGTACTGAAAACATGGAGTAATTTAAAAAAAATAGTTTTACACAGGTTTTACAAGAAATAATGGCTGAATCAAAAAAAATGCTTTGTTACTCTTGAGATAAGTAAAAACTTCAACCAGCCACTGTTATACCAACTCCTCTTAATCACATTGTTTCTGTGGATAACCCACTACTATTGTAGGATTGCTAGACTGTGTTGGATTGTTTTGCTGAATTCAAGCACCTATAATATTTGGATGCCAATGGAGTGCCCATCTCTGACGGGACTGAACAAGAAGGAGGGATGCAGAGGAACGACCATTATGTATTTGTATGTACGGAATGGTTGGGATAGATATACAGCTACTTTCGCTTTGTTCAGTGGGAAGAGGGATTTGTGATAGTGGTGTTTGGACAGGACGTCCTGTCTACTTCTTGTACTATGGATGGCCACTAAGAAGATAGCAGTGTACAGTGTATTAATTGTTGAAAATGTCCTACTGATCGGCTTTAGGCTGTCTCACTGATATTTGTTTCTCAATAAAATAAAATAAAAAATAAGAAAAAATTTAAAAATTCACATTGTTCCTATGTCTGATGGCAGGAAGTGAGCTATTTGATTTCAGTCAGTCTCAGAAAACCATGTGAACATCAGTAAGGGAAATAGCAGATGATTCTTACAAGCTAATTTTTAATATTAATGGATATTTTTCTAGGCCCTGTGAAGATTTTTAATAAACTGACTATACATTATCATTTTGGAGCTATATCAACTCAAGATGGACCTGGAAATTCAGTTTTGATTCTCACACAGGCAATAGCTTTTCATCATTCAAGAAACAACTGTGTCCCTGTGTACCTTGGTGGTGCCATTTCCAGTCAGTAACACACGGAACAGGTCTGCGGCATAACCACTCAGCATGTGCTGGTGCTCGTTGGTGACTGTCATGTTTGTCAACAGTCTCAACCCGGCCAGCTGCACGGCAGAATCCAGGGGACCAGACATGACATCCTCACAGACTTGATGGACGAATACCTGAAGGCAGAGGGGGACCATGGGCATTTTGGAGCCACCCAGTGACTTCCCTGAACAGTCACTGCTCCATACAGGGGAGTGGGGTGACTGCTCAGAGTGGAACTGGTGTCTCAGAAAGGATGACTTTTAGATTCATCCCTCAAACTGCACACACAGTTTTAAAGCTGCCTTTGCTAAGGCTGGCACTGTGCTGAGCACTTAACAAACACATCTCACGGGATCCTGGGAAGTCTCATGAGGTGGTGTTGAGGGCACATCTTACAGCCCAAGGCTATGAAGTCTTCCAGGAGCTCAGGCTATCAGGGTCAGGCCTAAGCCCAAGAGTCCCTGCTCCCTGGCAGGAGCTCCCAATTTAGCCCATATTTGTTTCTACCTGTCTGGAGGCCCAGGGTCAGGAGGAGGATATTCAAGGCCATTTTGTATCACAGTAAATACCTTAGTGGGGGTCCTGTGAGCTGTATGGTGTCAAAAGTAGAGTGAGGGGAGGGGACAAAGTGAAACAGAAATTTTCTTTACGGAGTTATTCTGTGAGAAGCAAGCAGAAGGGGCCGGGGAGATGGCTCAGTGGAATAAGCGCTTCCCTGGCAAGCACAAGGGCCTGAGTTCAATCCCCGGTTCCGCAAAACAAAACAAAACAAAACAACCCCAAAAACAAAAACAGAAGCAAGCACAGCAAAATTACATTTCATTTTCATTTTGCTAAGGATAAATAGATGGACAGAGACATATATAGATTATGTTTTGGTCACCTAGCCAAATTTAAACTTCACTAATAGTTCTACTGAGGAAAACTTTTGAGTTTTAAGAAACGATCAACTATTCAATAAACCACTATTAGTTTTTTTTAAAAAAAATCCCAAATGTAGGTGGGTATAGTGATGTAAGCCTGTAATCCCAGCACTCAGGAGGCTGAGGCAAGAGGACTGCAGTGAGTTCAAGGCTAGCCTGGGCTATATAGCAAGACTGCCTCAGAAATACAAAAAAAAAAGAAGAAGAAGACAAAAGCCAAACCTCCACATCACACCACCACAGACACTAATTCAATGGCAATAAAGCAGACTGAAACTTTATTGCAGCTTTAAGCTCTAAATTATAAATCAAATGGCTCAGTGGTGACACCCATCCTCTTTAAGAATTGTTATTTCCTTAGTTCTTTGTATGTCCTGTGTTTGTAAAGGCGCTCTCTTTCAAAGGATTTGCTAAAATGTGAACATTTATATCCTTATTGCATCAGTCTTTTCCCCATTTAAATTCTAGTAACAGCATTACCAAATGGGTCAGCTCAGTTATTTCCAACTCCCTTCATTCCCTTTTTTAAAAAAATTTTTCTCCTTGCCCAACTCTCCCTGTAGAGACCTTGACATTCTTAAAAAGCCAGATCAGATGCCACCTCTGATAGAAACTTCGGGATGGGATTGTTTCTGTGCTGCATTTTTTTTTTTTTTAACCTCTTTCCTTAAAGCACTTCATCACATTCTGCCTTGAATTACAACGGTTTATGGACCTGCTTCATCCTCGATTACCTTAGAGAAAAGGATTATCCTAATCACACTTATACTCTGTTCCACAAAGCAACAGTTCACTGATGTTAAATGGAATTCATACCATCTTTTTTCCCTCCTTTTTATGTGTTTGGTACAGGATCTCACTACACAGCTTGAACTCGTAGTGATTCTTCTGTTTTTATCCTCCCCAGTCCTGGAATTACAGGCATGGGCCACTGTGCTGGGACTTAGTCATCACTGGCTCAGTGAGCCCTGGGGGTGGCATGCGGGACTGGGGGTCAAACCCTGGTCCCCGCACTTGCCAAAGCAGGCACTTAGTCCACTGAGCTGTCTCGCCAGTCCTCATACCACTTCTTAATTCACTGAGTGCTTCTGCTCATGCTGTCTGATTCTGGCCTGGTTCTTTTAGTGCCTTGGGACTAAATGGGCTCCAACTACAAAAGTCTCCTGTACTCTACCTCCTCTTCGCTACTTCAGGCTCCCCTCTCCTGGGCCTTATTCTCTGTTTATTTTTTTTAAAGTCAATTCTTGGCCACAGAGCTACACAGGACAGTCTACTACAGTTTCATCACTTACCTTTTTATTTTTTCTTTCATGTGTAGAAAACTTTTACATCTTTGATTTCACAATACTTACCTTTATCTTAACTTGATTTTCAACATTCACACTCAGGTTATTTAGAGCATTTAAAGCTTTCTCTTTAATACTGTGGTTTGGACTGTTGATTTTATTTCCAACAACTGGAATACCACCCAACTCACGAATAATAGCCTAAGATGGAAAAACAAAAACAAGACCATAACAATATGCTTTCCCTCTGTTGAATTCAGAATTTACCAATACAATGAATTAACCACTTCTAAGAAATACTTTTCCCACACACAAATCTTCCCATAAAAAAAAAATCTTTGTTCTTCCATAGCTAATATTTTTTATGTATATGCTTTAATGATTTTTTCTTTACAATAAGTTTTGGACAATTTCATTTTGTGTATCTTGGTATGATTTTATTTAAATTTCTTGTGCAAAAGGTTCATTTTTCTTGGAAATGAGGTATTACAAGTTGAACTAAATTCAGAAATTTTAAATCTTTAAATATTTATTGCCTATTCTTTTCTACTTTGAGAATTCTAGTTATATGAATATAAGTTTCTTGGTTTTGACACAGTGAACTATTATGACTGATCTGTAAATTCTTCATTTCTATTTTGGACAATTTTTACTGTTATATTCATTTATGTTTGTAAATAATTTATTTTCAATTTGCAATCTATTAAAAAATTAAAATAAATAAAGTAAAAAAAAAAAAATCTTAAAACCCGACAAATGTGTTTTTCTTCCCCTTCCCCTGCCACCACAGAACCACCTTTCTTCCACTTCACGTTCTCTTTATGCTGCTGCCCAGAGCCCCTTGCAGTGAGACCTTTCCCACTGACTTCAGTGAATGCAGCCACTTCTTTGTTTACCATTTGTGTATACTTGCACTATTGGCTCAAAAGAATCTGAAATTCACTTCTTGGGAATTTATCACTCACTATATCACTAAATTTTTTTTTTTTTTAAATACTAAATCTTTTTTCTTTTGGTTTTATTCTTTTAAGACACGGCCTCTCATAGTTCAGGCTAGTCTTGAACTCACTGTGTATAAAGTATCTTGCTAGTATTTTAAAATTAATTTTATTTTTTAAATTGATATGTAAAAACATAAAATTATACATACTAATAAAGTACTTTGTGATTTCTGGATACTTGTATACATCATATAATCAGATTCAATATATCTGTCTCATTTATCACTTCGTTATGGCAAAACCATTCAAAATCCTTTTTCCTTGCTTTTGGACAAGTGTACTATGCAATCACTATAGTGACCCCACTGTCTACCCACAACTTCGTAGATAAAGAAAATCAACTGCAAATAAAGAAATGTGTTTGAACTATAGCATGACGTTATAAAATAAAGATTTGCAGAGCTACTGAAACGATCTTGACTCAATTTAAAAATAATTTACTTTTTTGGGGGGGTACTGGAGGATCTTGTGCTTGCCAGGCAGGTGCTGATGCTCCTGAGCTATATGTCCTGGGCCCAAAATAATTTACTCTGAAATGAGCTACAGTCTCTTATTACAGACAAATTTATAAAAGTGTTACCCTGCTTGGCAAGCGCAAGGTCCCAAGTTCAATCGCTGGTACTGCCAAAAAAAAAAAAAAAAAAAAAAAAAAAACCCAAAAGTGCGCTGCTGCACTCTTGGGACCCCTCCAGACGCAGCCCAAGCCCAGGCCCAGCGAGTGTGTGAGAGAGGTTCCATGCTCCTCTGCACCCACTGGATGTCTCCGTCCTAGCCCAGGCCCACTTGTGAATGAGTCCTTCTGTCCTGCTCTGGACCCCTCCAGACCCAGCCCAGGCCTGACATACAGGCCTGGGGTGAAACTCTGCAGCTGAAGTCCCTACAGAGAGGCTAGGGGCCAGAACCACGCAGCTAATCCAGGAGCACAATATCTTGCCAGGGGGGCACAACAGGTTCACTTCTAAGGGCTGTAGCAGGAACAAGCTGAGCACAGCAGCCAGACCCAAGCCAGGCACGACTGGATGAATTCAAACTTCGTAGATCTGCACCCGAATTTCAGTAGGTGCTAAGGCTGTAACTGCACCAAAGCTGTACACCAAAGGTCAGAAGGCAGTGCTATACAAAATGAGAGAAAAGGAGCAAAATGCAATCTCAGGCCCTGAGCCCGTCCAGAACAAGTGCAGAAGACACTAGCATAGAAGAAATTGAGAATCATACAGCTGAAATGTCTGAATTAATAGTGACTGAAGTAAACAAACAACTGCAGAAAGGTATAGAGGAACTCAGATAAGAAATAACTTCTGACATAAAAATATCTCTGAATTAATAGCGCCTGAAGAAAAGAATAAAATGCAGAAACATATAAAGGAAATTAGATCAGAGATAATCTCTCAAAAAAAAAAAAAAGATTTTGGGCTGGGGAGATAGCTCAGTAGAATAAGTGCTTGCCTGGTAAGCACAAGGGCCTGAGTTCAATCCCCGGTTCCAAAAAGAAAAAAGAAAAAAAGAGAAAGAGAGAGAAAAAAGAAATAATCTCTGAAATAAAAAAAGAAAGGATAACTATAATGAAAGAATAACTGCTACTCAAGAAGACACTGATAAAAAATAGAGATTAGAAAAAAGATGGAATCCTTCAATGAGCAATATAGGAAAGAAATAGATTAGCAGACTCAAATTACAGAGGAACTTAAAATCTCAATCACAAGCTTACAAAACCGTTTAAGTGAAAGTGAAGACAGAGTTTCAGATCTTGAAGATGCCATTGCAGCTAGTGAAAAGGTAAGAAAAGATCTCTTTAAAAAAAAAAAAAAAAGTGCTATGGTTGCAAACACAGCACTGGGGTGGGGGGAGATGGCTCAGTAGAATAAGCGTTTTCCTGGAGAGCGCAAGGGCCTGAGTTCAATCCCCAGTTCTGCCGAGAGAAAGAGAGAAAGAGAGAAAGAGAGAGAGAGAGAGAGAGAGAGAGAGAGAGAGAGAGAGAGAGAGAGAGAGAACACAGCACTACAGAAGTGCCTGTGAAAATGTATTTTTTTGGAATGCTAGCTCTTCAAGATGGTAAGATATTCCGCTAAAATGTTCAAGGGTTCACATGGTTTTGTAATTTTGGGAAACACTGGTTATAAAAATAAACTTTTTTTTTTTTTTTTTGAGACCAAGTTTTGCTATGTAGTTAGGCTCGCTTTTGACTCACTGTGGAGCCCAGGCTGGCCTTGAACTTAGGGCGATCCTCCTGCCTTGGCCTCCTGAGTGTTGGGGATACAGGTACGTGCCACTATTCCCAGTGCTACAGGTTTCTTTACTGTGACACATTGTGTAGGAATATTGACAATTGTATGTCACTATGACATACTATGAACTGTGAACTATTTACTAAAGAGTCACTTCTTAACACATTAACATCTTGCAGAGTCGGAGTTCCATATTGTTTGAAAAATGGTGCTCAAATTTTTCAAGGAAACATAATCTGAGATTTGGCAGGGTTAATGGCAATAGTCAGTTACCACATGTCCTTGGTCTCCACGGACAACGAAGTATCAATTGTTTACATTCTTGTAAGGAAAACAGGCTAACAGTCACTTACCAAGACACACTATTCTGTCCCCTAAACAGTGCCATCATCTGCTTTCTACACCCAGCTCAAAACTGCATTATTAAGGATAGACTTAGCTTTTCCTCTGCAATTCCAGGTTCTTTCCAAGGACTTACAGTTACTAGAAAATAGCTTTTCATCCTTTTTTTCTGAATAGTTACGCACTGCTTAACAACAGGGACAGGTGAGATATGCCATGCTGGCAATTTCATCACTGTGTGAACATCACTAAGCCAGCTGTCACTAAGCAAAATAATCTAATAGGGCCATCTAATGTATGAAACCCATATATGCAGTCTATAGACAAAAATGTTATGAGTAACTACTGAAGTAGATAACTGATGGTGACAGCACTCACTTCCACTGATCAAGAAAGAGCCCACTGTGCCTAAACTTGATTCAGAGGGAGATAAAAACAGTGGCATCAGAAATACTTCAACAGGCAGGCTGGCTAATTAGTTGCCATCTATTGCTTTTCATCACTTATTATATGACGTCAGTGACCACTGCTTCTTCCACCCCAGAGTCAGTGGTGGCACTGTTGACCAATAGAGTTCACAACATCTATCCCTGCTTCCTGGCTGCAGGAAATGCCTGTGAGCCAGATCTCACCAATCAGGTCCAGGATCTTTTGCCTTAAGAGACTGACCAAAGGGCTGCCATCGATCCTGGTAGAACATTACCTTTTGGGTCACAAGCTATGGGGATGAATGCATGAGAGGCCAATGGTTTTCTTTCTACTCCTTGAAGTCAATCTCTTCTCAGGCAAGGACCAATATGTAGAAAACAAGAGATAGACAGAGGCAGAGGGGAGAGGGAGATGGAGGGAGGGATGGAAGGGAGAAGAGAGGGAGAAAACACTCTGATAACTGCAGCCTCGAACTCAGTCTAATAGTGCCCCAAACCAATCCTTCTCTTAGATATCCAAGTTTGCTGATTTTAGTACTTTCAATTAAAATAATTTCAGTAGTACTCTGTCATTTGTAACTGAAAAAGTAAAATAATGCATAAACATTTTGTGCATCTTCCTAAAAACCTCTAAAGCTTTAGATAAATCGTGCCATTTGGAAAAAAACTGGACTCAAAGAAAGTATGAATTCCAAGTAATTCTGTCCTTCTGACAAGGTTAACGAAGGGTATTAGATGAGAAAAATTACACAAAAGTTTCTACTTATTCTCTATGGGGAAGGAAGGAGGGAAAAAGGGAGCACCTCATTAGGCTTCTTAGTCTTGCTAAATCTGTACCTGTAGAAGCGATTCACACTGATTCAGTGGTTATCAGAACCATGGGGCTAAGAGCTACAGTATCATACAACTGCACAGTTTAAAGTTTCTTTATTGCACTGACAAATTTTAAGTAATTTAAAGGGCCATAGGTTTATTCCTATTTTTTTTTATTCCTATTTAAAAAATTTTTTTTATTCTTTTTTTTTTTCTTCACATTCTGTAGGGAATTAAGTTTAACCTATCAATACTTGATGGAAAATACCTGTTCCATGTTGTGTAAGATGTTTGATATTCAGACAGATAGTGAGGCTAAGTTCAACTGCCTATGTTATAAGGTAATAATATCATTAAATTTCTCTTTTGGAGGGTTAACAACTTAAGTTTGTGGATTAAAAATTAGAGAAAAAGAAGGGCTGTAAGGAGAGCCAATATTTTGGCCCTAGCCTCTTAAGGTCAGTGAGGACTCAGGACATAGGAGAACCTGTACTGTAACATCATGTAACTCAGTTGTGTCCCAAATTTTCTGATCAAGGAGATTTTCAGGCCACATAGGAAAGTGATAGGTGATGTAGAGTGTGCCTAAGGAGAGTCTCATGGAGAGAAAACATTTTCTCAGGCTTTTACACAGAGCAAACTGATCAAGCAATGGCTGTGACTCATCCACATGACTGACACTGACACAGGATCTACAAACTGCGGTACAGGGTTTCAGGGTAAATCCTGAGGGGATGTGACTGGCCTTGGCAGATATAAAAGTTACATTTCTTGTCATATAGGTCTTGCTTTATCTTGATCTTAACCATCCAGCAGAAAAGTATAAAAATGAGGTATAAAAAAGTAAAGTCATATTAATATGCTGAGCTGTAAAAGGCTGAAGTTAACAACTTCTGACATTGCCAGTCCTATGGATAACCCCCTACAATTAGGGACTACTGAACTATATTGGATTATTTTGCTGAATTCATGCACCTACAATATTTAAATAGCAATGAAATGCCCATTTCTGACAAAACTAAACAAAAAAGGGGATACAAATGAAGGACCATTTTGTATCTGTATATACAAAATAGGATAAATATACAGCTATTTTCTCTTAATTCAATGAAAAGAAAGATTTATACTAATAGTGTTTGGACAGGGTATCATGTCTGCATCTTGTACTATGAATAACCACTACGAAGACAATAATATGCAATGTATTAATTACTGAAACAGTCCTACTAATCAGTTTTGAAACTGTCTCACTGCTATTTGTTTCTCAATAAAATTAATTTAAAAAAATAAAATAAAAGGGCCATGGACTGCCAAAGCTGAACAGACTCTTGTACTACGTGATGCCTGTGACCAGTTTCACAGGCATCTAGAAACACACTATTAATCATACTGCCATTAGGTAGTAAACAAATGTCACATTGTAGGCATATATAGTCATACTGTATAGACGAGGAAATTGAGGCTCTTGAGAGCCTAAGTAACTTAGCCATACAATTACTGCCACTGTATTGGACAAAAAGAGCTTGCTTGCTGAATGACAGTACTTACTTGGTTGCCTGAAAAGGCTGCACTGTTACCCAGAGTGACCAAGGCTCTTTCAGTAATTACAGGATCCTCAGTTGACTCCAGCAGGTAAAGGAGTTTCTGAAGTTGTTCAGCATTTAAGATATCATCATATGAGCCATTAGTTAAATCTTCTAGATAAGAGGAAAATTATTTAACATTATCTAAAATTAACATGAGCTATTTTTAACATTTAAAAAACAATACCATGATGCTATGTATAAGTTTATACACTTTATAGGCTTTGTCTCACTTAATCCTCAAGTAACTCTAGGAAGAAGATACCATTATTATTTTCAATGTACAGATAGGAAACTGAGGCTCCTGGACATCCCAAAATTAGCCCTTGGTTACCTGGTATATGTCTACTAGTAATCAACTACATACAAATAATATGGACTCCTAATGCTAATACCATTTAAAAAAAACAAACAAACAGGCACACCCATCCAATGGAATTCCTGTCTACAGAGCACAGGTTAACTACAGAACATGATCTGCACTAAGTAGAACTTTACTCATTACCATTTTGGTATATTCATTAATCCTCTAATAATTTGCTAATATTTTAAGATTTTATCTTTATTCATAACTGAGACAGGTTTTGGAAGAGGTTGTTCAGTGATTTGGGACGGTTTCCATCTTTTTCAATGCTCTCAAAGTCTTATTAGTATAAGAATTATAAAACTCTTGACAAGAATCAAGCATTTAAGACAAGGAAAAGATCATCCTTTAAATTTAAGGGTGATGACAACAAAATGGCTATTTCAAGTCTTCAAAGATAGACTGCAAGCAACTCGTTTTTAAAGTTGTCTGACTTAAGATGATTATGATCATGGGAATTGGAAATTTTAAAACAAGTTGTCACTGCTGATCAAAACTGAGTTAGCATAAGTGAGGTATCTGGGTCCAGCCCACCACTTCGTTACCAATACAGAAATATCTCTGGTACAGGGAAAAACAGGCCTTACAAGAAAGGGTAAATACCCATTCTAAACAAAAGATAAAGAAATCTCTTTTTAGAGCCTTTTATGAGCTTATCTGCATTTATCTTTTGTCTGCCCTTTTAATATAAGTTGTAAGTCAAGTAAAAGTTAAACCCAGCATTTTTCTCAAAAGCTTGCCAACCTTAGAAATGTAAATATTAAGACAGCATCAGTCTCCTCCCTTCTGTAGGAGCCTAACCAACACACCTGCTTATCTCAAAGATGTCTTATTTTGCCTCTGGATAAAGGCATTTAAACGCCAGAAATAACTGCTCTAACTATACCAGAGAATTTAGAGTGAATTATGTATAGCCAAGTGTTGTCTAATCCTCTTAAAGTTATCATTTATCCCAAGTTCCATCTGCCCAGTCACACAAAGATGTGTTTTTGGCACAGCACTAAGCAGACTGCCTGTGATATCTGGTTCTTTTACATTTATGGAAAAGTTTCTTGGCTGGCAGTTTTACGTCTGATCGTTTCCCTAAGTTTCCCTGAGCCGAACCATCTTCTACGACAGTGTGCAATCGGACCGTTAGCATTCCGACTGACTGCACCCATTAACTTTTCCACCCAAGCCTAACAGGCCTGGAGGCCGCGGCAGTTCTTCTAGAACACCCGCGCACCTGTGCCGTGGGCCCTCCCCTCCCCGAGGCCCGCCCAGCGCGGGCGCCCGGCCTATCTGGCGTCGGGCCCGGGCCTCGCCCTGCCTCGCCGCAGGCACCGCATAGCGAGCCAAAGCCTGCGCGAGCGACCGAGAAGTCATCAGCCCTCGGCCAGGCCTCCGCCGCGACGCCCATCACGGGCAGGAAGGGGCTCAAGCTCTCGCCCACAACCGTCCGGCGGCTGCCGTCTCCGCACCGGGCAGTCCGGTACCTGCGGACTCTGAGGAACGGAGCCCGCGCTTGCTGCGCCGCGGGCCGCGCGCCAGGCGATATAGGCAGAAACCAGCGCCCGCACCCAGAGCCAGGCCCGCCGCCACCCAACCTGCAGCCCGGGCGCCACCCATGCTGCGCTGCGCTGAGCTGCGCGACCGCGCAACAGGGAACCAGACTGAGGCCCGCCTCCCGGAAGTGTCCGCTAAACGCAGGAGCCCTCTTCAACTAGCTTCTTCCCGGGCTCCGCGCGTCACCCCCAACGTCCGCCCCTCAGCCTGCCCATTGGTCTGTCTATAGGTTCTCCCCTCGACCTGCCCATTGGTCCGCCCCCTAGTCCTGCCCAATGATCCGCCTCCTCGGCCTGCCCATTGGTCCTCTACCTTGGTCTGCCCGCTGACTTTCCCTCTAGGCCTGCCTATTGGCCCGCCCCCTCATCCTGCCCATTGGCCCGCTATTTCGGTCTGCCCATTGACCCTCCCTCTGGGCTACCCATTGGCCCGCCCCCTGCCCACCCCTCTCTTATCTCCGCCCTCCCTGCGCGGAGCCCCGGCTGAGTTCTGAGTGCCACCCGTGGTTGCCAGGCAACGCCTCCAGCCCAGAGCTGGTCTCGCTAGGCAGCGGCGCTTGTGCCTGGAACCCACCTAGAGCGGCCTCTGTCCCGCCTTAGCCATGGCTTCGCTGCGCACCGCCGACCCCGCGCTGAGGAATTACTTCAAGGAGAACTACATTCCTCAAGTCTGCGAGGTACTGAAGCCTAGTGGCTGCGGACGCAGGTCAAGTGTGGGGAGGGCGAAGAGGGCAGTTAGGAAAGATTTCCCCGAAGAAGGGCTTGAGGAGTGGCGGGAAGGCGGAGCGACAAGGGAGACAGTGAAGTCAAATTGGGTAAGGTGCAGGTGGAGGCCGGAAAAGCCCAGGAGTGACTGTTGTCGAAGCGGACAGCTCCCAAGGAGCACGGCCCAGCGCGGGTTCCCCAAACGCTCGTTTATGAGGCTTGGACTAACCCGAGGACGGGAGGAAAGTGTGGAAGAAGTACCAAAGGCGAGGAAGGCAGAGAGCCGAGCTGTACCGGGAGGGAGCGTCTTCAGGAAGCAGTGAGCAGTGGATAATGTCAGAGTCTGGTGGGCTCCTGGTCCTGGCTCAGGCGAGCCGGCGAAGGCCTCTCGCTATCCCATTGCGTGCGCGCACCGGGACTGTCTTCCCGCTTCACTGCGACAGGAGGGAAGCAGACGAGGGTGGGGGTGAATAGTAGCTGCTGTGGGCTTGTACCTACTTTGTAGCCTCACAAACGAGGCAGGAGGCTGAAAAAGTTCTCTGGTGATTTCCGTTTCTCTGAACATAGCTGGTGAGATGTTGGTGGGATGGGCTGTATTTGCGTGGGCTGGGGCTGCAGTAGGTATGAGCAAAGGTAAGTTATACAGAGAATGAGGAAGAGAAACAGCTAGGGAAGCAAGTGCTAGGTCTGACCTCTGCCTATTCCGCTCATCCCTTCTGGCCCCCAGCCATATGAAACCAGCGAACAGTGCCTGCTCTGCTAGGGTGTGTCACTCTCACCCCCTGCTAGGTCACAAGGCACCCACAGCAGAACCTTAGCTGTTCCTGTGGGTACACACACAGACTTTCTTGCTCCCCCAGTCTCACACCTCCCTTTGCTTCACCCACCTAAGCCTATCTGTAAAACACACAGCTCAGTAAACTGGACTTGAACTGTCCTTTGGAGTTACTCTAGGAGGTCCTGGCTGGAACCCCAAATGAGGGCTGGTGCTGTGTTCTTTTGTTATCTCACATCTGGTGCTGAAAACCTGGGAGGTGGTGGTCTAGAGCCTCTGCTCTGGTGTTTGACTCCCTCTCCTCAACCTACTGGATGATAAGAGCTAGTGACCTTATTGCTTCAGCCCACCAGAGACCTCTTCCTAACAACTCCACCATCCTAATTCTGCCCCTCAAGACTGTAGATAAATCCCAGGGGGCAGTCAAGCATGTCTGTCTTTCTGGTCAACTGTTAAGTCCTAATTAGGCCCAACCTCTAGCTTTGACTAGATATAATGGACCTACCTGGATGTAGGTTGCTGTCTGTCCTTTGGTTAAGCTTTTAGTCTTCATCTGGAGCATGCTCCTTTCAACTCCAGTCCTCTTCCTTCCTGTTACACACTGGGTCCCTACCCCTCCTAAAAGCACTCCTGTGGGGTGCCTCCTCATGGCCCGTATTCAGTCCTGTCTCAACCCCAAATGTCTTATCTTTTTCTGTAATGTAACCAGGCCATGATTCGAGCTAAATAATGGCTTTCTTAGGCCAGAACATGGTTCATTTGAGTTTTTAGATCATCTCTGACCTTGACCACTTTCTTATGTGTTCAGACAAATATGAAGAAGTCCCCTATGATGGGGCCTTTTTTTTCTTTTTCCTTTTGCTCTTGTCCCTCCCTCTATTCTTTCTGCTCTAACACCAGATAATCCCCCCCCACATGCCAGCCTTTGGTCCCAGGCTCTTCCTCACACAAAGCTTCAGTCCCCCTACCCCTTACCTGGCCTTCCTTCTGACAGACCACCCTTGCCAAGTCTGCTGAGCCCCTGACCTAAAGCCTCTTTACCCTTTGGGAATGGTTGCCTGCACTAATGGTCCTATCCATGTCCACATCCTATTCTTCCTTTTCAATCTCTCTCAACTAGGAAGCTTTCCTTGGTTCTTTTTCATCAAGGTCCTCACATTATGTTAAAACTGCCCTCATTTCACTCCTCAGACCTCACATGGTGCAGTATTCATATAATTCTCCCTGTGGCTCTCCTCTTAAATGAGGGACAAGGATAATGGCAGCAGATATTGGCACTCAAAATAATGACAAACCCCCCTAAACAGTTGATGTTCCTAGACAGGTTTGTGTCTAGTTGTATCCCCACAAAGCCTTATACAGTCATGGGGCAGACTTATAGAGTTTGTGATTAACTCATGATCCACTGGGATTATGGGTGTGAGTACTGTGCCCAGCCTGAGGCAGATAGCCAGAATACAACTTAAGGGAGACAGACTTGCTTTCTGTAGCCATTGTTGCTGCTACTCCTCCATTTTGCTTTTGCTCTTTGTCACTGTCATGAAAGGTTGCTTTCTGTCATGTGCCACTCTGTGTGGGAGCCAGCTGAGATAAACTGAAACCTCCAGTAACTGTGAGCTAAACAAACATTTCCTTCCTTCATTTTGGTGTCAGGTATTTGTCCCAGCAATGAGAGAAGAGTAACTGAGACAAAATTTGGCACCAGAGAAGTGGGGTCATTGGTGTGACTAAACCTGATCATGTGGATTACAAGCTTTTGGGAATGGATTATGGGAAGATATAGGAAAGGTTCAGAGATGTTGCCTACAAGAGAAGCACTGGAACAGCTTTGGTTGTTCTGTATAGGAGATTCTGGTCAGAGCTCAGACCAGAAGGCTGATAGAAATCCTGCTTGTAAAGACCAGCCTGAGAGTTTTATTCTGGGAAAAAGGATTGCATTAGTTGTTGGACTCCGGATTATTTGTGTTATGGTGTAGCAGAAAGTTTGTCTGCATTTTGCTTGTGTCCAGAGACGTTGCCTGAGACTGAAACTAAGCATGACGGACTGATTAATCTTTTGAAAGAAATTTCAAAGCAGCCAAATATTGAGGTAGTATCATGGCTCTTGTTGGGGGCTTTTAGTGAGATTTATATTGAGAATCAAGAGCAAAGAGCCCAACAGGATGATTTAAATTGTTATGAGTTTGGCCAGAAAGGAAGCTCCAATAAAATAAAGCTGTGGACTGCAAAGATAGAGCTGAGAGGATCTCCACTGCCAAGAAGGAACAAGAGGATGGTCTGAGGGCATCACTGAAGGCAGCAGGCCTCCACCCTTTGCAGTCTCAGAATTGAGGGGAAAGCCACAGAGCCCTACGTTCCAGAATGGAGGCAGGGGCCCCACCAGTTTCCAGAATTGCGCTGGCATAGAGAATTTATTCCTCAGAATCAGTCAGAGTGCTTTTCATCCAGGCACTGCACCCCTACAGCCAAGAGAGAGGAAAATCTGGCTACTGCTTCAGCTGGCAGCAGATCTTGGCATCATCCACGTGGCACTGGTTTTGGGTGCATTCAGAATGCAGGAGTTCTGAGGTTAAGAAAGCTTCCACCTAGGTTTCAGAAGAAGGCCTGGGAGGCTCAGAGAGGGAAGTGTGAAAAGCTGTGAGTGAGAAACCTATTCAGTGAAAACCCCAGAAGATTGGAAAAGCCAGGAATGTGGATCATCTAAGAAAAACTGCAAGAGGGGAGCAAAGCAACCCTAAGAGAAAAGCCATGGGAGCTCCCACCAAGAGTGCCGTAAAGGCAGAGCTACATGGACCTCACAATTTGCCACAGATTGCTCCAGATGTTCTACATGGGACTACAGGACCTAATGTTTGCCTTGCTGGATTTTGGACTTGCTTTGGTCCTAATGTTTGGTCTCCTGCTGTGTGTACTTTTTGGAATGGTAATATTTATCTTGTGCCACTGAATGTTGGAAGTGTTTAAGTTTTCATTTGTATAGGGGCTCATAGCTAAGTTTGCCTTAGATCTTGGAACAGACTTGTGACTTGGACTTTTCAGCAATGCTAGAGATGGACTAAAATGTCTTTTGCACAAAGGGATGTACATGAGTATTTGGTATCCAGGGGTGGAATGTTATGATTTGTGTCTAGTTGTCCCCATTCAAAGCCTCATACAGTCATGGGGCAGACTTACAGAGTTTGTGATTAACTCATGATCCACTGGGATTATGGGTGTGAGTACTACACCCAGCCTGGGCAGATAGCCTGAATACAACTTAAGGGAGACAGACTTGCTCTCTATAGCCATTATTGCTGCTACTCTTCCATTTTGCTCTTGCTCTTTGCCACTGTCATGAAAGGTTGCTCTCTGTCATGTGCTACTCTGTGTGGGAGCCAGCTGAGATGAACTGAAACCTTTAGTAGCTGTGAGCTAAATAAACATTTCCTTCCTTTATTTTAGGTGTCAGGTATTTGTCCCAGTAATGAGAGAAGAGTAACTGAGATAGGTTCCTAGAGAGAACATGAGCCCAGTTATAAGATTGAGGGGTGGGATGAGGGGGAATGCTAAGACTTTCTCCAATACATCCTCATTGGCTTAGACAGGGCCTCCATTAAAACCATCAACTTTGACAAACTCTGAAAAATCTATTAAGACCTTCAGGAAAGCCCAGCCCAGTTTTATGGCCTGGCACACAAAGACATTAAAAGTCCACATGTGCTTAGATCCCTCCTCAGCTAAGAGGCAACTTTTTCTCAAAACTTCTTTCTTTTCCCAGGCAGCCTGTGACATAAGGAGAAAGCTCAAAAATTCAAGGATGGTCCGCAAACCTCTGAGGCAGATGTCATGACCACTGCTGCCTTCAAAGTCCACCAAAACCAAAAATTTGGGCAAGCCAGTGAGATAGCACAGTGGACAAAGTGCTTGCTTAGGCAAGCTCAGGGACTGGGGTTCCATTCTGGCACCACATGCCACACTGGCCCCACTCCTGGGCATGCAGAGTGGGCCACTAAGACCAGGCATGGTGATGCACACTTGTAATTCTAGTGCTGATGAGGCTGAGATGGGAGGATCAGTAGAAGTCTGAGCTGTGTAGTGAGACCCTGTACCAAATACAAAACCAAAAACTTGTCAAAGAGGTCTCCAAAAAGTCACCAATAAATCCATCCTTCATCTTCTTACACTTCATCTATCCTGACCAGTTGCCTAAACAGAAGT